TTTGAGATTTCATAAGCCCACAAGAATTTCCACCTCTAAAATAATTGGGATTAGATCTCATAGTACTGCCAACTTTTTGAATTTTTTTTAAGAAAATTCACGAAAAGAATAATTTCCATATATTATCACTATCATTTGTTAAAGAAACATCCTCTTAACACCAAAATATATAGAACGATCATAATCTCAGAATAAAGGACAGTTTTCTAAGTGGAATAAATTTGGCTTCATGAAAAATTCACAATGTTTTTTAAAATTTTACTTCCGTCTTTTTATTGCTACGGGTGGAAATGTTATCACAAACCAATACTGCTCTTTGGGCTAGCATTTGGGAACCAATAGTATAATTAAATTCTTATTATTATAAGAATAATAAAGTTTATTTGCCTGAGGTTTCTTTGTTTCTCTTTCCAGATCTGCTCTATCCTTCCCCTACTCTGCTCTTTTCCAGGCTAGCTGGTCTCTCTGGATTTCTCATTCAGTGTGTCTTGCCCTCTGGCTTTTTTGGGGGCTCAGCCCAAGGGAGATACAAAAGACCACAGGTTAGAGAAGAGAAGGTCAGGCTATTTATTCCATAGGTCTGCCCACTTTTATATCTGAGCACAGGTTGGCAATAGTTCTATTTCTCCATCCAGGGTGTCAGCTTATAGACACAGCCCTCTCCTTAAGCTCTCTTTCTAGATTCTCTAATAGTACTCTGCCATTATCTCTTCCCTACCTCTTCAGTTCAAGGTGAGGCAAAGATTACCTTCATTTCTTGGGATACCCCACCATCATTTATTCATGCCCTTAACTGTGCCCACGTATTTGCACAGAGTCCCTTCATTAAACCCTTCCCAATTACTCCATTGGAATGACTATTCCCTGCTGAGATGTGCCCAATACATTCCTCATTTAAAGATGAAAAACCAAAAAAAAAAAAAAATAATAAAGATGAAAAACCGAGGCCCCAAGAAGTGAAGCCCAGAAGTCACACAGTCATGTGGTCAGGTCTAGAATGTGGCCTTCCAGATTACAAGCAGCATTGTGCTTAGGGCTCTTCTGTCATCCTCCCAATGTTGATCTCCTTCACAGTCATATTGAGAGGCACTTTCTAGAAACTTCTTTCAACTGGGCTTTGAAAATAGTTATGAGTTGTTCAATTTTGAATAAAATATATCATATCAGCAAACTCTTTGGGCAACTCTAAAACAGAGGAATACTGTTTCCACTAGAATGGGTGGAAATCAGGGAAAATCAAGTTTTTAAACTGTTGCCTAAATAGAAACTGGCAATTTAGCCTAAGATACAATTGCAAAAGCTAAGCACAAAAGGACATGAGAGTGATGAAATTTTCACTGTAAAAAGAATTCTGATCACCAAAGATGGGGGGAGTGATAACATAAACTGTCCAGAGTAAGGGGCTAAGATGGAAGGCTAGGGAAAAACTTTCATCAGCATGAGACATATGAGCAGGTTACAGAAGACTGAAGAAGTTTAGAACCTTCAGTGTCAGTCAGGCAGGGGGATAGCAAAGAAGAGACATTGAGCATGAAGCTTGACCATTGCAAAATGTGTTGAAAGCATGTTTTACCTGGCATGAAGTTACTGTGCTGCTGAGTAGGAGCTGCTGTCTGCTCACCCAGACATGTGAAGTTTCAGATTGCTGGAAACATTTAATTGTCTTAAACTGACCCATGTCAAAATGCTCTCCTGTGATGGTATTATTTGTTATAATCATACTTTTTTTTAACAATTTTACTTTTAAATAAATGCACATGCACATATTTAACACATTAACTTTGTTCTAATTGCATACTTGAATTTTCTTCCCACTGCTATCGTTTGATCATTTTCTATTACAAAAGTGCCTCTATGGGGACATTCCTTTACTAGGGTTTAAAAATAAGCTAGAAAGTTTTAATATCAAATGATTCTCTTTAAAGGAGTTGGGGCAATGGAATTACTAATAATAACATGAACTGAGCATTTCTAAGTAGTTGCCTGCTTTAGCTTTGTCTTCAGGACAACCCTGCCATCATTACCCAACTTCATGGTTACCTCCTGGCCATCTGCTACACAAGCTTGTACCTGGCCTTTGACAAGCAGAATCTCCCTAGGGCTCTGATCCATGTCAGTGTCCCAGTCTGGATACATGGAAAGGATGTAAAAAGCCTCAAAAAAGCCTCTCAGCAGAGGGGACTGCTTTCTGGTACAACCACCTTCTTTGACTGATGAGCCTTCAATCCATCAACAGCTATTTATTGGGCTCCTACTATATGCTCAGCACTGTGCCTCGGCAGACAGAGCTCTTTCTACCTGTTGCACCTGGATTCAGAGGCCAGGGAAGGATCTGGGTCAGAGATCTTGAACCAGTCCTGAAAAGTGGAAGGTGTTTGTATGGCTGAAGAAGAGCAAGGCCATTGTAAGATAAAGAAATACTGACTTTAAGGAAGGGGGATGATGAAAAGATATTGAGATGGGTTAGTGACCTCAAGAAAATTAACAGATTGTCAACTTGAACACACGTGCATAATACTCTAGAGTCTTTGTAACAGCCAAAGAGTTGAATTTGAATTTTTACTTGTGGTATTCTTTTAGTTTAATCATCTTGGTTATCTTAGTTACATGTACTTAGATGACTGGCTTGATATTAGGTAGAAATTTTTAAGACAAAAAGTAGAAGTTAAAAACTGGAAGTCCCATTAAATTGCTCGAAATTATCATTTGAAAATCATCAGGTTCAAAACCCAAACACTTGTATATCATATATTTTCAACATATGAAAGCATTTAACAGACTTTTGATTAGTTCATTTGTTCAATTACTTTAACTACCAAGACAGTTTTATAATCATAGTAAACATAGGGGCTTTATGTGAGAGGTGTGTCCACATCTGCCTG